GACTAGGTAAGGTAAAAAAAAATAGAGTAGAAAAATAAATATTTTTATGTTGACCGTGACTAGGTAAGGAACAAAAAAATAGAGTAGAAAAATAAATATTTTTATGTTGACCGTGACTAGGTAAGGAACTATTTATTTTTCTACTCTATTTTTTTTTTATGTTGACCGTGACTAGGTAAGGTAAACAAATAGAGTAGAAAAATGAATATTTCCATGTTTACCATAATGGACAAGGTACTAAAAAAGTATAAAAATTCATATTTTCATGTTTACCATGTTGATGCTTTATTATTAAACTTGACCTACTTGTATTCATAATCATTGGGTCTTGTCCATGTTCTATAATCTTTCAAGTTAACTTAGAGGGCGCGATAATCACATTGGGACTTACCCATGTTCTGTGATGATTGAAGGAAATATTCGAATTAACAGCCAAATAAAATACTTCTTAACAGTGAAACATGTGGAGCTGTCTGAACTCATTTTTACTCGTAAAACTAGAAATCAAAGGTGAACATATTCATATATTTCTGTTCATATTATGGTCTTTCTTTAAGAATCATCCTATGTTATATATCATATGAATAATGAACTCAAAATAGTCATGTAATTTATAGAGTATATCCCTCCGCTTTATAAACAAAATATCCCTCCGCTTTATAAACTAAAATTTTCTCGTTGGATGAGCATATCGACAGAACGATGTTCACAGTTAGGACTTAGAAGTATACAAATAAGCATCATGTATTTTTAATCACAGGGAAATCGAACGTTCATCTGAAACTCACGTATACACAAACACACGTAAAAAGAAAAACAAACTTGTTCCAATTAGATTTTCACCTTATTATTATTATTGTGTGGAGGGACTTCGATCTGCTTCTACCTGTAAATTGTGACCATATGTATTTTTGCCCATATAATAAAATTATATTAATGCACTGGACTTTATGAGAAGCACAGACGTTTTTAATTAGTTAGAAATACACTTTAGTCGGATGCACAGATGAAAATCATTACGTAATTCGATAAATGAGCGCCATCTGGTGTCAGTTCTCAGTATGTTATTTCGGCCTAAGCACTTAATGCACTGGACTTTATGAGAAGCACAGACGTTTTTAATTAGTTAGAAATACATTTTAGTCGGATGCACAGATGAAAATCATTACGTAATTCGATAAATGAGCGCTATCTGGTGTCAGTTCTTAGCACTTTGAATTTACTCTTTGAAATCAGGCATTGTTCATCTGTTAGTGTCCACATATAATTTATCTCTGTCGTTACGTACGTACTTAATTGTGTGTTGTATAATTTGGCTAGTTTTTCAATACCTTGTATAATAAGACTTGAATACAACAAACCGATCCAAGTAGGGTTAAGTATAATCTATAACCAATGGCTGATGTACGAGATGTATTGAGAACGAGTACATCTTGGATTAGATTAGATATGAAACTACACATATTTCAATACAAAACTTGATTTCGAGGGAAGAAAAGGAAGAAATAGCCAGTTAATGATAAATCATCGACTTAAAAAATGAACGTATCAAATGAAACATTTATATGCAATATTAGCACCAGTTTCTCTGACGCCGAGGAATCGGGATATATTTTCATTTGTATATATATATATATATATATAAATAAATCGTTATTTAAGTTAATGATAGGGGGCGTAACTGACGCGATGTAGTTACGTAACTTGGTTATTATCAAGACACTGGGCCCAGCATGGCCAGGTGGTTAAGCCAATCGACTCGCAATCTGAGGGTCGCGGGTTCGAATCCCCGTCACATCAAACATGCTCGCCCTTTCAGCCGTGGGGGCGTTATAATGTGACGGTCAATGTTTCCAAAAGGCTTTCCTGCTGATTTATTACATTCTTTGAAGTGTTTCCAAAAGGCTTTCCTGCTAATTTATTATATTCTTTGAAGTGTTTCCAAAAAGCTTTCCTGCTGATTTATTACATTCTTTGAAGTGTTTCCAAAAAGCTTTCCTGCTGATTTATTGTATTCTTTGAAGTTTTTCCAAACGGCTTTCCTGCTAATTTATTATATTCTCTGTCAGCAAACTTAATAATATCAGGCCCGGCATGGACAGGTGGTTAGCGGAATCGACTCGCAATCTTTCATGCGTGGGAGCGTTATAATGTGACGGTCAATCCAACTATTCGTTGCTAAAAGAGTAGCCCAAGAGCTGGCGGTGGGTGGTGATGAATAGCTGCCTTCCCTCTAGTCTTACACTGCTAAATCAGGGACGGCTAGCGCAGATAACCCTCGTGTAGCTTTGCGCGAAATTCAAAACAAACAAACAAACAAACTCAAGACACTGACGTGAATGATACGTCTTAGCCGCTATGAATAGAGCAAATATTTAAAATGTCATAAAGAAAAAAACATCTCGACACACGAAGTACACCACTAGAAACCCATAATCTGTTAGACACTTGATCAAATATTTCGTTCTGAGGGAAGTGCTTTTCGGTTGTACAAACATCTCGCCACACCACTAGAAACCCATAATCTGTTAGACACTTGATCAAATATTTCGTTCTGAGGGAAGTGCTTTTCGGTTGTACAAACATCTCGCCACACCACTAGAAACCCATAATCTGTTAGACACTTGATCAAATATTTCGTTCTGAGGGAAGTGCTTTTCGGTTATACGTATTCGTTATCTAGATTATGTATGCCAATGGCGCGGAATGAAAATCATGACGGGAAAGTATAAATCTGAGTACACACATCGACATATCTCGTTAAGATCATCTGTTTAACTCGATCATTAGATATTTAACATGTTAAATACGTAACGAAAGTCATGAGAAGGTACGATTATTAAGAAGACCCTAATTACAAACATAAATAATTCACTCGAATCTATAATAGCCCAAGTTACGATTAATAAACTTAACAGCTCAGAGTTATTTTTGTTCGTAATAAAAATTAAAGCTAATTACGTAATTTATGTTAATAACATGCTTGTAGCATAATTGAAAACTATATTTCTCTGCCTTCTTCTCAAACTTTATGACGTTAGCTTTATTGTTTGGCAGATTTCTAACAAGAGATTATTTATTACTGTGTCCTTCTCAAACCGATCAGAT